AAAGAAAACATGGTCACCAAGTGCCCTCCTTTCTTTATACACCAAGGATGAAGTCAGTACATTTGGAAACTTTAAATTGGTCTAAAACAGAGACAGTGACCCACTGACTCCATCATGCTTGTGATGGACTGATGCACAGCAATTATTTTCTCCCCGCTTTATTTACAGTGCATGCCAGGACATGCTGCCAGTCTAGTGGGTCAAAAATAGTAACACATGGGCAGTGACACCCATCAGTTTGCTTGCCCTTTGGTTGCTCACCTCTCCAAAAGTGCTTCTGTATCACTCAGCTGTCTCTCCAGCTGCCTTTGGAGGGTCTCCCAACTCTCTGTCATTTCCTGATTATTCTGCTCCTGTTCTTCCATAAGGGCAAGCTCTCCCAGGACCTCTTCCATCTCTTCCTTTAGCTGTCTGAACAGATTCTCAGAATCCTCTCGCTCCTGCTCCACTAGCACAGATAGGGAGTCCACTAATGACTGCAGGGAGAGGTGAAAAGACAAAAAAAAAGAAACAATAAGTTACAGCTTAAAAGTTATTGCACTGAGTTTTGGTTAACAAAAAACAACAGCAAACCCAACAGACAAGAAAAAGTTTGTCTCACTCACCCTTTCCTTTGCCAGTTCCTCAGTAAGCTTGGCATGTTCTTCCTGGAGCTCAGTGCATCTCTTTGTCTCCTCTTTTTTAGCCTCCTTTAGCAAGCCCAGCTCCTTCTTCAACTCTTCCACCCTCCTTAGTCCCTCCTCCTGAGTCTTGCCTAAGATATATAAAAACAAGAACTTCACAAACCTGGAATTATTTTCTGTACCTTGAATAGCCAAAGCCACTGGCTCAGGATGAACATACTTCTCTCTTCCTCGGAAAACAGACACCTCTGTTCAAGATGCGCCACTCGCTCATCCAGCTCCTTCTCCGTTCTCCGGAGCACCTCCCTCAGTCTAGAAAGCTCTGCTTCCTGCTGGCCTACTGTCACTTGAGATTCTTGAACATCTTGGTTGGCTAACTTTATTTGTTCCTCCATGGCACTCATAGAAGACTTCAGCTCCTGCTCTTGTTCCTCCAACTTCTTTTCCATTTCCCATAAAGCATCCTTTGTTGACTGCAGCTCTTGCTGGAGTTTGCGTACCACCTCCTCTTTTTGCCGCAGCGCATCTTGAGTGGTTTCAAGCTCAGAAACACACCGCTCTAGTTCGGACTCCAGCTGCCTGTGGAAAAATGACAAATGAACATATAAGACACGCAGGAAGGATAAATTTAATTAGATATACATTAAGCATTTGCTCACTTTAGTTTCTCCACTTGGGAACCAGCAACAGTGTTCTGTGTCTTCTCTTGAATCTTCAAGCGGAGCTCCTATGGCCACAAAGATGGATTAAACATGACTTTCACAATTTATGAATAAAAGATGGGGGAAGACAAATTAATAAATACATATTTGCAGCATGTGGTAATGTAAATCTAGTTTATACCTGGTTTTCATCATTGGTTGCATCCAGGTATCCCTGCACTACACGGATCTCCTCCCTGAGCTCCCGTATCACAGCTGGCAGAGAATGCAACCATTAAAAAGAAACACAGTAAAGGTGATGCTACTTGCTTACTAATGTTATTCCCAAGTCAAAGATGGTGAAAATGTTCATTTGCCTTCCAGTTCAACTCAACAGACTTTGTGAAAAATCCAAAAGAAAACTCACCATGTAATCGAGCATTTTCCTTTTCCAGATCTTCATTCTGACTTTTTGTCACCTGATGGAGGTCCTCTAGAGAAAGATAGCATCCCTAATTAGTTCACCTACACATTCTGCATATGTAATAGATAGATATATAGTCTTAAATCTTACCCAAGTCTTTATTCCTGTCCTTTAAAGCTGCGAGTGTAGCCCTTGCAGCTTGTAGGTCAGTTTCTAAAACTTTTATTTGGCCTTCAGTGTTAATCTGAAGTACACTAAATTCCTGAATAAAAAAAAAAGGACAATTTATTACTGCACATGGGTTAATATTAAGGTAGGATTTAACAAACTGAATGAATCATACCTGGTTTTTCACATCCAAAGTGTTCCTAGCTTCCATCAACTCCATGGTAAGGGAATTGATTCTCTTTTTTGTTGTATCAGCAGACACCTTGAAAAAAAAGAAAAAAGAAAAAAAACCCACCATTCAAGTCCAAACACACTCATGACGGTATTTCTAAATACAAGTAGAGCCTAGATATCATCATACCTTGTTTTTTAGGAACTCGTTGACTTTCTTGAGTTCAGCTCGCTGTCTCTCAAGTGTGGTAACACTGGCAGTGAGCCCGGTCCTTTCCCTGATTGCAGCCAACAGCTTGGCCTCTACCTTCTTTAGCTCTTCTTCCAGGGCGAGTACCCGACGATCCTGCTCCCCACGCTGTTGCACCAGGGACCGGATCTGGGAAGAATCAAAGCTCAAACTATCTTTCTGGTACAGGCACCAACAGGATGAACAGCAGCTTGAACACTTACTGGTGCACCAGTTCCACAGTAATAACTAAGGACACAAGCTACTGATTACAGAGGACTATCAATCTTTGAGGTGTACCTCCTTCTCCAGTAGTTTCTGCTGCTTCCTCTCCGCAGTCATGCCATTCCTGTCTTTCTTTGCACTTGACCCTTCAGGCTAGTTTTTGACAAGGGAAAGACAAAGGAAACAAATATTGTACATCTCAAGCAACTCTATGATCAGCAGGCTCTGCAGAGTGGCGTTAGCAATAACATTAAACTCACAAGGACATCAAGCGACAGAGTCCTGCGGACAGGAGAAACTAAGGCATTTCTGGAAGGCGATGGTGGTGGCGGCAGCATAGCAGCTCCATCAGCTGAAGACACAAAAGAAAAACAGTGGTACTAACGTTGTGTTACCAGTTACACCATTTCCTGTAGCATTACATGTAGCAGAGCCACTCACCCGCTTTAGGAGGTTTGAATCGATCAGATTTGTCAAAGGATGTCGCTCCTCTCAGGTCCCCAGGTTTAATCTCATAGGACCCCGGAGGAGGGGCGCAACCTTCGAACAACAAGAAGACGTTAGCTGTAATATCGATCACCGCAATCAACAGTGGTATCATAAACACCATCAGGCCTTTGTTATGTAAACAAATAACCACCCTTGGCTTTGTTTTATTAATTTATATAGGTTAAACAAGAAATCCCGCTAACCAAATGTGCCTTAAAACGCTTGCTTAGCTTTAGCCAGCTAACATAAGCCATTTAACGTTAAGTGGTTGAATTTGGCAGCATGCTACAGCCGTTAGCTTTTTCTTACCTACGTGTTCGTTGAATCTCCTCAAAGGAGCTCGTGAAAAAGACATTTTATTCCACTGTATGTGACTAACTTTGAATTTCTAGAAGTGTCACAAAGGCTGTAGTGCAGCTCTCACTGACAAGCAACGCTCCGCCGCTGAAATTTCAAAATAACGTCATGCGTAGATTTATCTGCCCGTAGCCAATAGGAATCCAGTCCCCATGACGCAGTTCCGGATATCGCGAGCGTCTTCTTTTCACAACAAATTCAAATAGCCCTCAAGTTTACTTAGAAAGTGTAGTTTCGGATTTTGTGTAAATCCGTAACTGTAGAAATTATATATTTTACTTATTTTATACACCCATTGATGTACACCTGTACAGACTTAACATACTCGTTTTCGATTTGATTTGTTTTTTGGGGGAGGGGCTTCCCCAGGTCTTTTTAAATGGCTTACCATGGACGCTTTCTCCCATTGAAAAATAAAATACCATCCATAGCTCGATTTTTTTAAATAACTAAAAATCCAAAAATAAGTAAAAACAGTTTAATTGGCATAAATTGCTAAGTAAAATAATTCTGTTTAATAGAATAGCAAAAGTCTACAAAGTCCAGTTTGGTCTTTGGTCGCTAACCCAGTTAATTTTTAAATACAATGCATTCAGAAAGCATTCCAACCTTTGTTATATTGCAGTTTATCTCAAAATGATTTTTTCCCTTTAATATGTACAGATGTGCTCCACAGTGAGACAAATTTTTTTTAAATGCTTGGTATCTATTTTTACTATAGTTCTGCAATATGATAATAGTATTACATAAGTATTCAGAACCATTTACTTAATATTTTGTTCAATCGTCTTGTCTTATGCAGGGGTCTCGAACGCCAGGCATCCAGGGCCGGTGTCCTGCAGGTTTTAGATCTCACCCTGGGTCAACACACCTGAATCAAATGATTAGTTCATTACCAGGCCTCTGGAGAACTTCCAAGTCATGTTGAGGAGGTAACTTAGCCATTTAAATCAGCTGTGTTGGATCAAGGACACATCTAAAACCTGCAGGACAGCGGCCCTCGAGGCATGGAGTTCAAGACCCCTTATAGGTTATGGTCCTACAATATTGACAACATATTATTTTTTTAATTTTCTACCATTCTTGACAGAATCCAACCCAGATAAGGTTGGATGAGAAGAATGGGTGCAAAGACAATTTTTGTTTCATTTTTTTCCAAGATACATTAGGATAAATTCTGGCTAAGGCAGACATTTAATTTTTCAAGTCGCAAAGGTATGATATAACAACATGATTGAGATGCTACATTGGTCCAGGTACAACGCCAACACGAGGATATGAGAGACCCTTCCTATAGGCCACCTGGCATATGTAACAGATGTAGTATGTACACAAGCTTCATTCTACAAGATTCTCAAAACAAACAAATTTGGAAAACTAAAACCTGAAAACATCCTGGATGTTCAGGTGTAATACGGCATGCTGCAAGTAAATGGTAGAACCCATTGAAAAGCAAACATGCTAAATACAACTTCTTTTTTTTTCAGTTAAACATTTTTTATTTCATGGAAATACAACATAATTTCAAATCCTTTGCAGGAACATTGTTGTACATTTTATATTCTTTTTCTCCACTTTTTTTTTTTTGTACTTCAAAACATGGTCACTTGTACAACAATATCATAAACAAAGCCTCATGTCACAAATGGAGCCATTGATGACAATAAATTACATTTGCCATGCTAAGGTTTCGAGATGACACGCCAGTACCCTTCATTTTGACGAGATCAACCTTTAAATGAACCGCAAGTCAGACTTGAATAAATACGCTAAAAAGACACCGGAGTTACAAAAGAAACTTTCTTCATTCAAAACGGAGCAGAAAAAAGAAGGCTGCTTTGAAGAGGGTTACTTCATTTGTCTTTCTTCATAAGAAAAAAATAGGGACAAAGTTTTTGCATATTTTGATAACACTGCTAAATCTAAAGCAAAGAGTCCCACAATAGTAAATACTGACTATATTTAGGAAACTGCCCTTTAATCATAACTGACATTTTAATTTATTACTCCTTCTTTTTTTAATTATTTGTTCCTTCGCTGTATGAGGAGAATATTTCATCTTGACCCATTCATACTCAAAACAGGTTAATCTAGTACAGCACTGTCTTTATACAACCTAGAGGTATTTTCTAATCTTTTTGTTCCTTTTTAACTCTTGAAAAAGCAAACACATTTACTCAGATGACTGTGTGTCTTTTTGCAAACTGTAAATAATATCACTGTATTCATATACAGAATATAAAAATCTTTCCAACAGACAAAAGAGGAGGAGGGGACAAAACAAAATAAAAAATAAATAAATAAAAAAAAACTACCGATGAGGTTTTCCAGTCAATAGAAGAGAGGCAAGTATGCAAAGGATGGTTAAATTAAAATATTAATAATTAAAAACAAAGAACAATTACGACACTCAACACTTCACTTTGTTCAACGGTGAAATTTACAGTGGAACTGGTTACCGAGTAAAAGCGTGTCAGGAGGCCGACGAAAAACCAGGTAAACTGAAGGCAAATCAAAGATGCAGTGTACCTCCGCTCCTCTGAAAAGCAGGCCGTGTGTGAGAGTAATGAAAAGTATATAAACGCGTCATGACAGACGCCTTGTATCATGGACAGTGGGTAGATTATTATACAGATGCATCACGATAAACAAGTTTGGGTCTTAATAGAGGACACGCGTAGAGATCGCACAGGTGTACTGGTGCCTGTGCGAGTACTGTTGGGAGACGTCGGATCACGTAAGAGCACCATGTTGGACTTAAATATATTTATATATATCTATATCTATATAATTTGGAACATTTGTTATTTGTTGCGCCGTTTCATATCACATTTTTTAAAATCAGATAGTCTAATTTTTGTCTCTTTTGGCATTTGTATCAGTGGTCCAGCGAACAGGTAAGCAACTGAAGGAGTAAGAGAAGGCATGCACGAGTCTTGAGTGGAAGCCACACAAACGAGGAAATAAAAAGAAGAGACGTGACTATACACTTCTACCTCTGGGGTGCTCCGCTTCTCGTAAGAACCCAAAGACACTCATTTGTATTAAATAGAGGAACAGTTTGAGGAGACGTGTCTTTGGATTCTTACAGCCAATGGGGAGCTATTGTGGTACCTTACACCTCACAAAGAGCAGTAAGAGGCAGAAATTAGCATCACAGCTAAGGGGAATGTGTCTTCACTTGTGTGTGTGTGTGTGTACAATTTTCAAAGGTCTTTTCAGCAAGTGGTAGCCAGGGATTGGTGTATAGGAGGCTGGAAACAGCGAACATGCTCCACAGTGGAACTGTCCGTCTCCACTGCCTTCATGTACTTGTTCAGGATGGCAAATATCTCATTGTTGAGGATCTGGTACTTCCTGATGCGATCTGCCATCTTCTTCAGCGGCTACGGAAGAAAAGAAGGGATGTATTTTTTGGACTTATAATTGCAAGTCTTCAGCAACAAGGCAAAATTGAGGATACGCAGCAGATAACGTGTACCCACCACATTTTTGATGATCTCGTCCTTGCCATCCTGCCTTTGGACTTTGAGCAGGTGGTAGCAGAAGTCGAAGAGGTCAAAGCGACGCTGCTGTCCCAGCAGCACGATGATGGCACAGCCGGCCCAGTTCAGCCCATCCCCAAAGCACTGCCTGTAAGGACGAGCACAAACAACACGGGGAGGGGGCGGAGGGGTGCGCTTTCATTATGTGATGCACAACTCGAGTTGTGACAAGTCTGCAAAACAATGATGCAACTCTGATGCAACAACGCTCTAATGTTTCCAGCTGCTCTGGCGACACAAGGGAGCAACGCGCCATGGAAAAATCCTCCCTCTGTCTGGGTCCAAACTGCTGTCACATATACACAGCCCGCCCCTTTCAACTTATTTTCAGCAATCTTATTCAAGGAGGGTGATGTAAAGGGTGTGTAGCACAGTGATAGAAAAAAAAATTAATTAAGGGGAAGAAACTAAAGAAGCCACATAGTGTGTATTGAAAAAGTTTCTCCCAAAACTTTTCCACCCCTTTAACTTCTCTTCTGATTTGCCAACTTTAACCTTTTTATCAGAAGAGAAAAATACTGCTGGACCTGTCATATCAACATCTGCACCAAAATGGACCCAAAGAATAAAACAAAGCAGGCCAAATTTAGCTTAAAAAAGGAAAATACATCAACAGCCATCAGAAGCCATCAACACATGGCTGTGGGGAATTTAATTTTCACCATAAAGCAGCCGAGGTCAACAGACACTCTTGGAATCTACCATTAGTTTGCTGATAACTGCAGACTTCCCTTGAATGACTTTTCTACTGTCGCTTGCTGCTGTGCTTTGCAAGTAATGACTTTCTTTGCCAGGTGTCACTTACTCTGCCGTGAACTCGTGCGTGCCCACGGGGATGCAGTAGACGAACTGCATGGCGCTCCACAGGCGGTGGAACTCCATACATTCGTCGACATGCATCACACCATTGGTGGGCGGAGGACCGCGCCACACCGGATCCTGCAGGAAGCTGCGGATTCGCGTTAGGATGACCTCGAACATGGAAAGGCCACAGCACAGGCGCTCTTTGGTCAGCAGGTCTCCCTCCCGCGCAATGGCAATTTGCTGGTAAAAAAGAAAACAGGCAGAATGCTCAAGGATGAAAATCTAAAAGAGAAATCAGACCATTCACTTCCTAGAGAATTTGCCAGGGGATTTTTGCCACTGCTATCCTCCTCTGTCGCTTGCTGCTAGAAACTTAAAGCTGATTACTCAGCTTTTTCTTTCCTCCTCTGAAAATCCGCAGGCTTCTAGTGTAAGTCAGTCAGCTTAAAGGATAACGCTAGGAGAGAGAAGAGAAACTTTCCCTCCAAAAGTCTAAAAAGTCTTTAGAGAATTTAGAAAATTGTGGGAAAGATTGGCAGCTTAAAGAGAAATTTTTTTGAAAACCAGCTATGAAAATTGTGCAAATTCCCTTGAATTATTTATTTATAATCAATAAATAGTTAACAATGAAACACGCCTGAGAAAAGCAGGAGGAAGGGGTCGCATGATTAAGCTGCAAGACTATAAATATGTCCTTTCAGGTCTGCTTTCATGCCCATCAGAGCGGATGTTGAACTCACTTGCGGGGTTCCCAGCCTCTCAATTAGAGGCACGAGGTGGAGAGGGGCGTACTTCGCCTCCAACCGCTTCATCCTCACCTCCAGACGCTCTCCCTCTGTGCGGCACACAAATACCAACAGTTGCGGACGTATTTCAAAAGAAAAATGCTTCTCAGATCATCCCAAACTTCAAACTGCGAGTAATGTAATTT